CGCTCAACCGCGCTCGCCAGAGGTGCGAGGCACCCCTGGAAAGAACTACGCCTCCCGGCATGCCCCGCAGCTGCCTCCCCCCCGCCGGCGCATTGCTCATGAGCCGCTTCCAAGCGAAGGGGCGAAAGGAAATGCGAGGAAGAGGAAGGGGAGGGGAGTAGGAAGTAATGTCATGTGCTCCTGGACGGGGGGGGTACTTCCGACCGCTGCACTTGTCAAGGGAACCGCGGCACACAGCGCGGCAGAAAACAACGTCTCCCAACAGGCCGCGCGGCCGCGATCCGTAGCTTAGGGATGGCGCGCGCGACCTGGTGGGAGTCGCGGCGCATGCCGGGAAAATAGGGGACCACTGTGAGGGGAGGGGGAGCGGGAGGGAGCGGCGCGCGGCGGGAAAGCGGCGGCTGGGGCGGGGTGGCCATGGCCGAGGCGGCGCCGCCCGGGGTATCCACTGGCGGCGAGCGGGTAGTGCGGCCCCGGGGGCGGCCGTCAGACCCGCAGGAGCTGTTGGAGCAGGTGGAGATGCAGATCGATGACGTAAGTCCCACCCCGAAGCCGCGGCGGTCTCCAGCACACCCCCTTCCCCCGAACCCCGGGCTGAGGAGAGGCGCTGAGGCCCGGCCCTCCTGCCGCAGGCCGCCTGCTCGCTCACCAAGCTGCTGGAGGCTACGTCGGCGGTGTCGGCCCAGGTGGATGAGCTGGCCACCAAGTGCTCCGAAAACGCGCGGTTCCTGAAGACGTGGCGGGACCTGCTGAAGGAGGGCTACGACTCCCTGAAACCCAGCGGCTGAGCGCACCCGCAGGAGGGGAGCTGGGACAGGAACCGGGTCCCCCCCTGCTGCCTGGGCTGGGCTGAGGACTGCGGCATTAGCAGCCCCCAGCCCGGCTGCTGGGGGCGCTGGGAGGGGGGACTTGGTAGGCGTGAGGCCAGCTCCGCACCCTGTTGAGCAACCAAGCAGCAGCCGCGGACCTGTCTTTTGAAGCTTTTCTCCTGGTGGCTCGGCTCAGCTGTCCTCTCCTGAAGGGAAGAAGCTTGGCTGCGTGCACGTTGCTTCTCCAGAGAAAGGTCTGGCGCGTATAATATTTTCACTGACCCTGCGTGATCTCTGCAGGTAGCACCACTCACTTAGGCCGAGCAACCGCGACTTCTTAAAACTAGTCTTTCTTTTTTGCAGCTCTGCTGGCCTAGGAAGTGCATACAATGTTGACTACTACCAGCTCCCTGGACTGGTGGTCCTCTCGTGTTTACATGTGATGCATACAGAGCTAGGTTACCGTTTGGCCAAACTTGGAATTCCCTGTTTGGGGGCAGGGTGATCTCTTTTAGACAATCCTCTCTGCTTTGTTGGTCCTCTCAGGAATGTATGCAAGCCTTTAGCTGATAAGATGAGTCTTTTCTAGCTCCTGTTTAAATCAATAGAGACTTGGCCTGGTTTCTGCCCATACTTATCTTTGCAACACCGTTCTTGTATCCCTATTTACCAGGGGGATAGTGCAGGCCTAACCAAGTCTAGAAGTTGCGCACTCCTTCAAGCTGTGACATTCTTCAAATCTGACAGTTGTCTTAGGTATTTTTTGCTATCTCCTTCTGTATACCTGCATTTTTTTTTTATGGATCACTTATAGCAACTTTTTTCTAAACCAATATTTTTATAAATTTTGATTACTAAAATGTATTTAAAGTGCCTTATGGATCCTATATTATCCTGTGTTTATAGGTTTGACTGTTTTGCATAGTAATAGGTGGGATAACTGTTCAAAGGATTATTTAAAGCTTCACTTTGGGAAAGGCCTGTGAATTTCTCTATTCTGCAGTGCCTTTGTTGAGGTAAAGTACTGAATTGGAATTCAGCCTTGCCTCAGACAGGTAGTAGTCTCTCTTAATCTGGCATGCTGCTGTAAGCAGGATTTTTGGTCTAAGAAATCATGCCCTGATCTGTGAGGAAAAAGCTTAATGTCATAGCTGCTGTACCCAGAAGCATACGGGGAAAAAAAACTCCAGAAATTAGGGGAGAAGCTATAGAAAGACCACGTGCTGTGACTAAGTAACCAGTGACATTTCATTTTTCAAAGGATTTTTAGTTTTTGAAAAAGTTGTAACCTTTTGTCTAAAGAATAAAGTGTTTAAAACAAACCTTAAACAACTATTTTTGCTGGTCTCTTTCCTAATCCCAGACTGAAAAGGAAGCTATTGAGGGTAAACGCAATTCTTTTTCCTTAATTGTTTTTCTAATTGTTTGATCTTGAACTGGACTGTAGTATTAATCTTAAACTCTATAAAATTAGTAGACATAATATTAGTAGTAAATGAGGACAAAAATGTTCTGGTTGTTCACATCAAACATCTATTAATTTGTTTGCTATAAATACCCAGTGCTTTGTAGGCTTCAGCCAGTATAGACTGTCTGTCAAAACATTATGCAGTTTTAAGGGAAGTTAATGGTTTTGGCACTCTAAGTTGTTTAATTTCTACCCCCACTCCCAATAATTTAAAGAAGTACTGACTTCTTCTTTTAATAATTTAAAAGAGCTGTTTAGCTGTCCCACTTCTGCGTGGCTAAGGGGCTGCACTGTGCCATTTGGGAGAGGAAGTTGGAGGAGGGAGAGGGGAGCCCAGTGGTGGCAGCAGGAGCATGGGGGAGAGCTTGAAATCTATGAGAGTAACACCTAGGTAAGAACTTTGACCTTAAGTTAGCTCCTTGCAGGCCACCAGTTGAATAGGCCTGGCCTTGGGAGTGAAAAAAGTCTATGCATTTCTCCAAACTTCACTTAAACAATGCTTGTTTAAAATGCAACTGTGGCATTGTTGGCCCCCAAACTGGCTGTTGAGAGCTTTGAAAGTGAGGGGAGTTAGCTGGCCTGAAATCAGCTACATACTGTGGTGCTGGGTACTTAAGAATTGCTTACAGGGCTGTCTAGGTGAGCAGCTGACTAACTCCTGTAGATTTTTCTTTTTTTCAAAGCTTGTCCCAGTAGTTTTCTTATGGCTGATTCTCCTACACTGCTTCTGGCAGCTAATTGAGGAACACTTCATTACATAATAGATCTTTATGCTGAATGATGTTACAAGTTAACCAATCTCTATATAACTGACAACAGGCAAGAGATTGAACCTAGCACAATGCTCTTACTCTTTAAACATGTAGGTGGAAAATACCGAAAAGCAAAAGGGTAGTTGTATTGGCTATCTTTTTTTTTTTTTTTTTTTTTAAAGGAAATTGCTCACTTTGATCAACAAGTAATGCTTTCTTCCAAATAAAACAACATGTACAGTAATGGAAACTTAAACTGTTTTGTATTTTATTTGAGATACTCCCAAGATTCTGTAAACAGTGAAGCGTGAATTGCACACTTTTTATTCTACATCTTACTTTTGTAATAAGTGCAAAAGTTTTAAAAACACATTCTCACCTTTTTAAATAAGTTTCAATTTTTTTGTTGCAAAAATGCATTTCTGCCCTTCTGTCCAATCAACTCACATGGCTAAAATGAGTTAGTCCCCTGAGCCAGCAGTCTCCGTTGTATGGAACTTGAAAAGTGCCTCTTATCATGAGTAGAAGAAAAAGCCTGCTTGTATCAGTTGGGATCTCATAAAAATGTGAGCTCATCTTTGAACCTTTTGTGAATGTTCAGAGAGAGGACTCATTTTCGTCTGTGTCCAGTGCTCTGTAAATAACCTATCTGTAAAACTTCAGGAAAATACTGCAAAAGAAACATTGTTGGGAGCTGCCTGACTCTGAATTAATTTCTACATTCATGAAAATAGAGGACTGAATCCAGAAAGAGACCTAAACATTGCAATACCCACCTCTTAAGTGCCCTTTTCCCCACTAAAATACAAACCTCCAATTTAGGCACCTAGGCACTCTGCATTGCACAGATTTACAGTGTGTCTATGTGGCACAAGGCAGTGCTATGCAGAGGTGATCTTTGTTAGTTCTACAGGTGGAAGCAGTGTGGGCTTATTAGTCTATGTGCAATGCTGGCTGTGCAATGCTGCTGCAGCCATATGCTGCTTTCTGGTTAGGGAGCTAATGTGCTTCAAGTACTCCTCTGCAGTGGTGCTCTGTAATGTATCTATGTACCTATATGGCCCTAAAATCCAGGATTAAAATAAATTGGGGAAGTACTGAGGGGAGTTAAGTTAGCCATGGGGGAAAGGAGTGGGAACATCTTCTGTCAAAAAACAAGCACTCGAGCCTGGTCTATCCAGCTGTGAATTCTCTCCTGGAGTTGGATCCCTAAGCTAACTCAGTCTTATTATGAGAGATCCTTCCTTTTTATGGTCAATAGACCAGCAATAAATGAACTCAGATTGGGAGTAGAGTCTTAAATCCAGGTATCTGGCATGAGTTTCCTAGCAGTAGGCTGTTCAGTATTCTGGGCAGAGTCATAGTTTTTGCTCAGTAGAGACAAGAAAAGCAAGAGATTGACTAGTGATTAGGGCATTTACCAGTGATGTGGGAAAGTGTTTACAATTTCCTGCTTCAGTGTTTATTCTATGTGAAACAACTGTTTCACCAAGAGAAATTAAGAAACTTTCTAGAATACCCATTAGACTAGTATGTTTGGCAATTTCCAGATGCAAGGGGCCAAGCTTCAAGTTCCTGCTCCAGATCAGGCAGAATGGGAGAAACAAAGCCACCCACATTTGAAGAAAGTGCTCTCACCATTGGGATTCTGAATGGATTGGATGCATGCCCAAAAGTCTTGTGCTTGCCTGTCTTTTTACAGGACTCACTTTGGTTGGTGTAATTGAGGTTGCCCCTGTTTCTTCGGCTTTGTTGGTACAGGAGGCATGGAATGCCTAGTTTGAGTTCCCAATGGTATCTGCCCATAAGCTGGGACACTGAGCAGCTCTGGCATCAAAACTATGTTAGTTTTGTGTAAGACCACCTGTTGGATCGCACCTATTTACAAAGCTAGGGAGGACCCGAGCCAAATTTTTAAGGGTGCTTAAATGTTGGAGTTAATTTCCCAAAGTGACAGTAAGGCATCTCCCAAAGGCTCGATGTAACAATATTACATTTTAGAATTCTGAAAGGTATATGTGACACTAAGTTTTAATCTCTTGCCTTCTGCTCCTGCCAAAAGTAAAAACTAACTCCTTGTAGAACCTCATTAATATAAATGTATTTTCCCTATGGCTATTACTCCCTACATCTCTTCAAAAATGTTTGTAACCTAAATAGAGCCGGTCAGGATTTTTAATTTAATTTTGTTTTGTAAAAAAGAATAAAAAGATTATAATTAACAGCATTTGAAAATATTTAAATAAAACATCTCATTAGCCTAAATTCAAGATATCTTTAGGTTATTGATTCACAAGTTGTTCTTATTTTTTAGATTGCATTTTCATCCTGATTCAGGATTGAAAATTTTCCAAATCTCAAAAATTCTCATGACAGGAAAATTGTTTTTGCAACCAGCCCTGTTAGCCCACAAGCTTTTGTCTTCTTTTTTTTCAGTTTGACTTTTGGGCTGTCACTAGTGTGAACCAATATTTTATAACTTCCCTCTGTTTTCCTCACTGCTATAAAACAATAGATCCACATCTGTGAAGCTGACTGCAAATTTCACTGTAAATATTCAAAATATTTATGTGCATGAATTCAGTCTGGTTGATAGTGTTGATTGTGAAACTGATGTTTCAGAGCAGTCTGTATAAAGAACAGGCTTTGTTAAGTTGGGTGTGATTTCTTGCATTGGCCACATCTCAACCCAGATGAATGATGGACCATATGTCTTCTGACCGCTCTTGCTTCCTATGGATCTTCTTTGTTTGTAATTATGCCAAACCTGGTGTATCATTTCTTTGAAAGGTCTTGTGGTCAGAGTGTAGAGGAGAGGATTCAAAGCACTGTTTATCGGCAGTATAAAAATCACCACCCAGGAAGTTATAGTACCTTTAGGGGAAAGAGAAAGGAAAATGTAATAGGGAAAAGCACTTGTACCCATTAACAGTTCTAACACTACACCCATGCATCACACTCTGTTAACCTCACTTGTTAGGTCTGTAAGCACTTTGCATTCTTCCTTTCACACCACCAGCTTTCTCTAGTTCCCTGAAACTTGGTCCAATATTCACCCTGCAAGGGCTTCACCTTTACCCAGTCCTCCCCCAGAGTACCTCTGTGCACCACTGAGTTCCCCCTCACCCCCATTTCTCATCTCTTCGTTTATATCAGAGTCCACTGATTTTTCTCCCCTGCCAGCAATGCTGTGTTTGCTACCATTCTCTAGCTCACTGGAAGGGTTGTCTGTGCACCTTTTCTCCCATGCCAAGGTCTCCCAAGCTCTCCTACCAATAGTGTTCTTTGTTTCAATCCTCCATTCACTCCATAGCAGTAACTGTGATGTGCTTATCCTCTGTTTTCTTCATGATCCCTCCATCCTAACAACCAGAGTCCCATGTTTCTCACATTTCCTCCCTCTTATACCAAGCAAAAGGCTTTATGTAGTCCCACTCATCCCTTATATCTTTTTGTGAGGGCTCTGTGATTGCACCAGGACCCCTGTTTTCTCTCTTTACTAGGAACCATGTGCATGGCCTCATTCTCTCTTCCCTGTTATTTCTTTGGCAGCTAAGTCATTCAGGGCATCAATATGTTTAACTGCTGCAGGGTTCAGTAAGCAAGCAGCCCATGAAGACTGGATATAACCTACAGCAGTTCAGCAAGTCAGCAGCATTCTCCAGTTGGGGCAGCATGGAATCTCTGAGGTCCTACTGACTGCCTTTTTCTATCTGTTTCTTTTGCAGCATCTGCTGATCACCAGGGGGTATAGAGATTTGTGGCCCATGGCAGGGGCTACATCTGGGTTGCAAGCAGCAGCCTGTGGTGGCAGAAGGTTGCCAACCACTATTTTACTGGTTGATGAGCAAAGAGGACATGGGTATATTCAGCCTGGAGAAGCACAGGCTCAGGGTGACTTGGTGGCAGCCTATAAGTACATACAGGGTGTGCATCAGGATCTGGGGGAACGTTTGTTTACCAGAGCACCTCAAGTGATGGCAAGGTCCAACAGTCACAAACTCCTGCAACACCTTCAAGAGCAAATTGGATGCTTATCTTGCTGGGATCCTATAACCCCAGCTGACTTCCTGCCCTTTGGGCGGGGGGCTAGACTCTATGATCTTCCGAGGTCCCTTCCAGGCCTAATGTCTGTGAAATCTATGAAATATTGGGTTGGAAGCTGTTAATGAGTGTCCTAAATGACTTTCTTGATTTATGGACAATTTTAACATTGCATGAGTCTCTGGAAGTACTATGTGGATGTCAGGGCTTCCATTTGTCCCCTAAGCCTTCCCCCTTCAGGTTTTCTGAATTTTCCATCAACTCAGCAGTTCTAGCCATTAACACCTTCAACATTGGCCTTAATACTGTAAGCCTTTTGGAAATTTGGCTAAGCAACTGTGTTTTTTTCACAGTGGCCCTGACAAACAGATAAATGTTATTCTTTTTTTTAGAGATGAGTTCACTGAGAACTGAAGTGGGAAAGATTACCCAGCACTTAGAACTAGGATTTTCTCTCTTGGTTTCCTGACTCAGCTTTGTATTTATTCCTTCAGGCTGTGCTGTTTCTACTTGTCATAACATTTTATCTTAAAATTTCATCTCCCTAAATGGGATGAGATTTGGTACCTCTTAAAATGCATTTTCACCCTGAATAAGCAGTTCCTAGCGGTAATTGATATATTGCACGTGGGAAATACTTTCAGGTCAAACTGGCTTCCAGACATTTGCCATTTACATTTACAGCTTTTTTAATGCCAGAGCTAGCTGTAGGTAATTGAAGAATATACTTTTGGTGAGTTCCCTAGACTGAGTTTTCCTCAAACTTTATTGTGACTTATCTTGGAGCCTACGATTGCAGGGGCATCCTTTAATCTAAAGTGATTTTTGTGAAGTAGTATGTGATCCCTTTGTAAAGAACTTAAATCAAGTTCTACCCTGTACTGGTATAACAAATGGAAGAAAAAACTTCTAAAATTAAATGTTTAACTTTGTGTGCTCCTTCTTGTAAGTATTTAACATGTAGGGAAAACAGATCAAATATTGTTCTATGTAACAAGAACATTATGTTGATGCATTGGTGTCAGAATTTCAAAATGAGCATTGCAGGAGTGATGACATTAATATATTAATTCAAGAGAGGTATTTGTATTGTCTATGATTGGATTCAGACATCAGAACCAGTAGGAGCCATAGGATCAGAACTACCAGCTCGAACTAAACCCTTATTTCAAATACATTTTGTTCATTATACGTGGGGAGATTGCTTTTAAGCTTTTGCTATTCTGGCTGAGCAAAACAGACATGTAGAGAGAGGGTTTAACTTAAAGATATAGCTAGGAATTTTGGCACCCAGGGCAGGGATGCTCATGGGGAAAGGTGTGTATGTTTTACTTGTTTCCATTATTTGATAGTTTTTAAGCAAGCCATTTGATTGTGTTTTTAGTTAGAAAGGAAGCAGAAAGAAAACAAAGAACATACCTGGTATTTCCACTTGAAGTAAAGAAAGCAACTTCAATATAAAAATGGGTATCCAGCACAGTGCATTAGTAAATACAATGAAGAAAAAGCGTTTTGCAAGGGTCATCTCTTTTTTAATATGATTCCGGATTTCAGTTGCTGTGATAGCTGTTTGGTGAACACTATAGAACATACTTCCATAGGAAAACACAATGATGATAAAAGCTGCCAAGTTTACACCTATTTAAAAGTTAAGGCATGTTAGTGATTTGATAGTATATGACTTGTTAGCAAGTTGGGGAATTTATAGAGCAGGTAGTAAAGGAGAATCTATACCCAAATTACTATTACAAGGAGATTTCAGATGCATTCTGTACTGAAGATTCTGCCTATGTATCTAGGGCATTGAAATTAATGACCCCACTCAAAGAGAGGTTGTTGTGTTAGTCTGAAGTCAGGGTAGATAGATTGGAGCAACCCCATGCTGGCGGCTGAACCCCCTGGGCCCCCTGCCAGCTGGGGCTGCTCCATACCAGCTCAGTGTGCTGTGGTCCTGGGTGCATGTTCAAACAGCACACCTGGGAGCAATAAACAGAGGAATAAGTACCGGAGTTTATTGCTTTCAATTAATTGCATGTGTAGATGCGCCCCCCACCTTGGGTAAAGATGTTTTAAATCTTGGTCTCAGTATTGCTTTATTTTTCTGACAGTTAATCAGTTTAGGTACTTACATGGCTCTTCATCTCAATAGTATCAGGGCATCTTGCCAATCACTAATGATTTTAGGCTCATAACATCCTGCTGAGATCAGTGCCTGCATTCTGCACAGGGATAACTGTACCTTCACTATTTAAAAATAAGCACCTCAAGGTCTTCATGAATTTCACAATGGGTCGAATTTAAAATATGAACAATATATGGTGTAAAATTCAGTTTTGGGGTACAGATTTTAGTACTTTGGTGCATCAAATGTCATTTTCTATATAGATCTGAGCAGCCAGATATGGAATTGGACAGGCTACTGATGCTTTTATATTTGTTTGAAAACTGGGTTTGCTACATAATCTCATCCATGTAGATATGAAGGAAGAAATGTAATATACTTACCTAAGAAAATAACAACAGAATAGATCTGGCTTCCTGTACTTTCTGCCTGTTCTGAATGAAGCGGGAAACAGACGCCATTGGTGCCATAGTAGTTTCTGAAAAATTCCTTATTGCTCAGTGGAATAAAAGCAACCACAAACCCAATAATCCAGATGAGAATCAAGATGGAGATTGCCCTGCACTTTCCTGGCTTCAAGCACCTAAAAGGGTAAACTATGCAGATGTATTTTTCCAAAGTCAGGTAAGTCAAAAGTAAAACTGAGACCTCTGTGGACAGAATAGCCAGTGATCCCACCAACTGGCAATGGGTACTATCCATCCACAATTGAGCATGCTTGTTGTATTCTCCACGGAATTTAAGATCAAAGGCTCCAATCACAAACAAATATATCCCCATCAGACAATCAGCACCTGTAGAGGAAGAATTTAACAGTATAATTTACATGCACAAAAATGGAAAAAAGTCATATTATATGTATATCTTAATCTTCCGTTATACTATATTCACTCTGTATGTATATGTTCATATACAATCAGTATTGCAAATGGAAGCCTATTGATGACTATAGCTAAGATTGTACAAGGAGTTTCAATCCTAATATCCTGGCTTTGGTGACTGCCTGAAATTTTCATTATTTGGACCAATATTTTACTTTCCATGCTTGTTTTCTATCCAAAGGTTTTTTAGTCCTTTGTTTTTTTTAAGTTAAAGTAAAAACACTTTAGTTGTTTATGAGCTCAAGTGGAAAGTATGTAATTGGCATACATACTTCATTAAAACCCACTCTTTTAACTTTTATTTGAACAGTTGTAGTCACAAAATAACTAAATTATTTAAATTTGGTGTGGAAATCACAAAGTAGAAGTGTGTCTACTGGCATATAATAATTTCATTTTGACTTGAGCAAGATAACTATAAAAATCATGTGGAATGAGGCACAGTACAATTCACACAGAGGTTTTTGGCTGTAATTGAAAAATACCCCATGACAGATGTGTGCCCATCTACTTAGCTCAACAGTGAACTACATGGTATTGACAGGTTTCTTGTACATTCTTGAAAATTTGTAGAAGAGAACTGTGTAAGTGACCTAAAAGACATCTAATTTCTGTTGCATATCTTCTAGAACAGTGATGCTCAAACTTTTTCCTTGGAAGGCCTGATGGGCAGTGCCAGGCTGGTGCCCAGTGCTCAAGGCAAGCACAGCAGTACCCCATCCAGCCATGCCAAGGGGTGTGACGGCCAGAACCAAAGAAATTAATAAGTAATAAATATGTGCTTCTTGGAGGCATTTGGAATTTTTGTCTAATATAAAGCTTGTAAGTTTGTAACCCGCAAATGTAACTTGCCTGTCATAAGTTTAACCAAAATGACAAAACTAGCTGTTTGTGGAACTGACTGAACCTCAAAGACAAAGCTATAGCTGTAAGATTAGCTGACCTAACGGCTTTTGCTCCGAGTTCAGCCTTGATGATAAAAACTGGATTCAACCACCTGGCATACCCAGCATATTCCAGGAAAGCATGTATCAAGAAAGCATAGAGAAATCTAAAGGGGTTGGATTTGGGCAGAGTAATGTTAATTTCAAACCTGAAGATGCTGCATTGTAATTTGCTTGTTGGATAAACCCAAGTTTGGGTAGTAACCTTTTATGATAATTTTTAACACCTTTTAATCCCATAGGGTAACAGCTATAGGGCAAGATTGTGAGTGGCTCTAAAGCCGACAGATTAGCATAAGACTAGGTACAAAAAGCTCATGCATCAAGTGACCAGCAGGAAAGACGGAACAGAATGGTAATTGCTTTTGCAAGCCTGGACCCGAACTCCTGGTGTGAGTGAGGATTGGATCCTGATCAAGGGACCTTCCCCGGTAATACTTCTGACAGTGTCGATTGGGGACACCTAACTTCGCTGGAATCACTTGGTGCGCACCTGGCATTGAGGGACTATTGATAAGTTGCCAACCCATGTCTGGCTGTTTATTGTTTTAAACAGCCCAGTGGCTGATACCTTCGCAGTGCTCAGTTGGCCTGCGACAGATTGATCTATCTATCTGTTATTATCTGTTGTTATTATTTATTATTATCTCTTTAATACTGCATTATTTGCTTATCGTATTTATCTTTCTGTTAACTGTTGTATGTGTGTGTAAGCTATAATAAATTTGCCTTTGCTTCACTCCCAACTCTGCCTCCTTGATCCCAAACCAAACAGCTCAGTGGCTGATACAGTTGTAGCATCCAGTCAGCCTGCAACTAAATTGATAAACTCACAGTGCCCAGCTGGCCTGTGACAAAGGGGTCTGGCCTGGCCTGGCCCTGAATCTGCTGCTCAGGGGAAAGGGGGCATGGCCCAACTCTGATTCTGCCACACAGGGGGAAGGGGAAAGTGGGTGGAGAAATCTGGTATCAGGGAAGGGTGGCTGTATTAATGGGCTCTGTTCCCTGTGACAAATTTTCCTACTTGTGGGGAGCACTGAGGGCCACATGCAATGGCTCTGCAGGCAGCATTTGGGCCATAGGCCAGAGCTTGAGCACCCCTGTTCTAGGGTATATATTCTAACCTCCCATGTTCAAAAATCATGAGTGTATAACAAGGCCCCTAAAAAAATGCCATTGGCTAAAAATTCACGTGTTGACATTTTTTTTTTAAAAAAAGGCATGTTCCTTTGTTTTGCTGTGGACTTTTGAGTGTTCAGGGTGCATTTGATACACATTTTCAGGCTTTGCTTCACAGCCACAGGGACTTATAAATTAATTAACTTTGAAATAACATGCAAAATTCTCAAGCAATGTGTCTTTTTTCAGCAATAGGTGCTTTAAGGTTAGTGTTAAATATCATAAAATGGTGATGAAATTGTATGAGATGTTGACACTGCAAAGCAGGGAGAGAAAATTTCTCTGCTGTGAACCTCTCAAGCCATGTTTACACTCCCTTTTTGCATATCTGGAACTACTGAGAAAGAAACCCTGCTTATTCACTACTAGCGTATTCGGGTGTGGGAACTGGGCAGAGTAGACAGCTCAGAGGGATCCTGAGTGCATGTTCACATGCTTAAGATCCCTCTTGTGTCTGGACCGTCTGCTGTGTGCTATGCTTAAGAGTAGGAGTTTTGGGTCTGGGTTTTCACCCACTGGTAGGCCCATGGCTCAGCAGGAAGGCAGTAGAGAAATAGGCATGAGATAAGGTACTTTGATGTGTGTATCCAAACCAGCTATTCCAACACTTTGACAACTCAGACAGCTTCAAAAGTCCTGAACGATGGACGTTGCAATCCTATTTTACACATTAGTAGCAATGACGTTCTAATGCTATTACTGTAATCTCATGAAATGCTGAATTTAAGATTAACCCCTTTGTATTTAAATCAAACACACATGCAGGGTGTTTGAAGTTATATTTATCCTATTACAAAATAGTTTGTCTTAAAAAAACAACAATCCACAATCACTGTGATGGCCAGAACCAAAGAAATTAATATGCAATAAATATGTGCTTCTTGGAGGCATTTGGAACTTTTGTCTAATATGAAGCTTGTATTTTTGTAACCCGCAGATGAAACTTGTAACTGTTTGTGGAACTGACTAGGCCTCAAAGACAAAGCTATAGCTGTGAAATTAGCTGACCTAATAGTTCTTTCTTGCTCAGAATTTAGCCTTGATGATGATAAAAACTGGATTTAACTGCCTAGCTTATCCAGTACATTTCAAGAAAGGACATCTCAAAAAAGCATAGTCAGAGAGTTCTGAAGGGGCTGGATTTAGGCAGGGTAATGTTAATTTCAAACCTGAAGATGCTGTGTTGCAATTTGCTTATTGGATAAACCCAAGCTTGGGCAGTAACTTATTATAATGATTTCTAACACCTTTTAACCCCATAGGATAACAACTATAAAGTAATATTATGAATGGCTATATAACTAAAAATTAGCATAATTAGGATATAAAAGAACATGCACGTCAAAAAAACCCTTGGGAAGGACGGAACAGAAGGGTCATTGCTGTCCCATTCCCCTGTGGATCTCTCTTACTCCCAGTGAGAGTGAGGACCAGATCCTGACTGAGGGGCTTCCACCGGTTCTCCTTGGGGCAGCCCAGTTCAGAGATGTCTGACTTCGCTGATTGAACCTGATGTGCATCTTCTAACCAAGGGACTATTGAGAAGTTCCTAACCAAGTGGGAACTCTTTGCTAATTTCTTTATCTGTTTTATTATCACTGTCAATTTGAATCTATATTGTTATGTTGTCTTTCATC